TTTTTTTGAGAGACTTTATATTAGATTGATTTTAGGATTTTTGGTGCGATAAATTGATATACATGAAAAAAAAAACAATTTTTTATTGATCTAAAGATAAACCAATAAATATATATTTCAAGTTTTTTTTTCTGAAACACTTCTTCTCATAATCTTCTTTATCCCTGAAATAAAGTTAAACAAGTAGAAAAAGAATTTCAACAAATAGAACTTTTTCTTTGTTATATTTATTTTTATTATTACTTTTTGTCTTATCTCGATGAGTTAGGAAGGTAAGATATTAATGTCGCCATTTTCCCATCACCAAGATGTTATTCACATATCATGTAAAAAGTCAAACACTAGCAACTCTTTATATAAACTATGTTTGTCGAAATTTTTTAAAATAAAATTATTTTTTGAAATTCTGAAATATGTGCATCTGCAATATATTTTTTATCTTACAATTTTATCATTCACAAACAAATTCGTTAATGAAAAATAAGAAATTAAATTGAAACAATTGATGACACAAAATAGGAATAACATCTCGATACTCCCTTCTTTCGTAACTGTTGAAATACGAAATAAAAAGCGTGTGCTGCTGAGGGTGTGGGTGTGAGTGATTGAAGAAGAATAACCGACACCCCACCCACACTCTCCATCATCAAATCGATGGATTATTGGTGTAGTACATATCGATCGTTTTAATTCTGATACTATTTATAGTCAACATGATAAACGTACTTGTGAAGCATATTATCCCGTATCCTGGACTAGTGAAAAATCAAATTTTTATCAACTTGAAGTTTTTCAACCAATACATTTCGGTTCATTGTTAGATATCGATGAAAAAAAAATAGTGACGGTTGAAGAAAAGAAAAAAAAAAGTTTTACCATTTGAATTCATGTTTTTCTTGTTACATTTGCAAACACAAGAACAATATTTAGTTTCTGATAATGAAGGTTCGACTTTCACCATAATTTCTTCTTTAAAAAAAAAAGAGAAAAATATACAAAAAAAAATCGATTATCTCATTTAGTTTTTACCCGAACGGTTATTTGATTCTGTTGTTTGATTAATTTATTCGAAAATATTTTGTAGTTCATCAATTGAATTACTGGATACATCAAGAATTTTTTTTGTTGGTTCAATTAAGTTTTGTTCGCATTCGATAATCAATAGTTTTTCTCTAACAATTAATCTAAGTGTATTTACAACTGTATTTACTTCATTACGAAAACTATCTAATTGTCGTTTATTTTGTTTTGTTATTTGAACATGTTCATTCAAATAATATAAACAAACCAGATGTAAACAACAATGACATTCATATAATTCTTTGATTCCATTATCATATGTTATATCAGTACACGGATCTTTCTCGGGCATTTCTGAAAAACAAAGAAATATGAATATTTATATCTACAGCATTCTTTGAGATATATATGATGCCCATCACGATTGACGAAATGTTTGAAATAATTAGCTGACTAACAAACACATAAATAGGAAAGAAAACAAAGAATCCAGGATATAATATTAGCATTCTTTGTTTTGTCGAATAACATAGTATGCCTACTAATTAATCAGCGTTAGACTAGTGATTTTCCGTAAGATTCAGTGAACCTTACCCAAAGTAGACTGTAAATAGTGGACTCTGATTTTTCTCTCGATTAGCTGTAGCTCATTCTTTCTGAATTCATATCCTTCAAAAAAAAATGTTGCTTCATTCAAAAGTTATAGCATCTCCTGTATTCCATACAGTAGAACGTTAAGGTCTAAAAGCGATATATATATGACTTGTACTTGTGTTTTTCAAATCTTTCTATGTGTAAAATACTTCCATATCAGCTGAATTGCTTATGAATGGATTTAAACGTGCTGACGGCTGTGCTACTCAGTATGGTGGTAGAATTGGACTACTTTGACTGTCAGTGTAGACGTGCATATTTGTGTTGCTAGTATATACGGGTGCAGATGTGAGCGGTAGTATGGCTCAGTCTTCATTTTACCCATGCAGCAAAAACTCTCTTTTGATTCATTTTTATATGAACTGTTAATTTAGTCCGAGTTTATTATTCACGTCGTCGGAAGTGACAAAGAAAGTTTCATTATCTTTCGTGATTATCTTCGTACACATTCCGAAGCAAGTCGAGAATACAGTGACTACAAGAAAAAATTAGTTTCTAGCGAGCCTTATATAAGTGTGAACGATTATGCAAAGAAAAAGGATGAATTTGTTAATCAGTTACTTGACAAAGCTACGCAATGGTATAGAAGACAAGAAAAATATGTTCACATTGGTAACTTCGATAAAAAAACAAGAATCGATGGTCATGTTGCAATGCATCAGAGAAGGAATCTAACGAATGCGGTGATTGTTCGATAAGTAATGAGACCGGTTGTTATAAACTGGGATCATATAAGGATAGCTATCATCCTGGCCGATATAATTGGGTCGAGTATAATTTTGTCAGAGGATGGTACACATGTTGCTCACAGGGTCAATATTCAGATGGATGTGTGAAAATTGATTTACCAGTTTTCTTGTCAAACAATGAAGATAAGAACAATTTGATCATATCCTTTCAATAGATATGCGTCATATACATTCGATTTTCATTTAGTAATTCTTAGAGACGTTGCAAAATGAGATGTGACCAGTGTTTGTCGTTGGATAAAGTCTTTGAAAAATATTAATCAAGACTATTCAAACAGTTTCCATACGCATGGTGTTAACAGTCATCTATTGCTAACATTAGTGGATGATTAAGTCTTACAAGATTTTAGTGTATCCTCATTGCTGCATCGAAAGTTGTTACTTAAATCTATTGGAGAACTGAAAAATCAGTCGCATTCATTTTCTTCCTCCACCAACCCATTGCTGTCGTCATTGACAGCTGCAACTGCATCGTCATCATCAGTAGCCACAGTTCCATCATCCATCAATTTATCATCAATAAAAAATGAAGTAAATAAATCTTTTTACGATCAATTCGTAGGGGATTTCACACCATTATTAGCTTCACATGAAATGCATGACGCCACTAAAAACTATAAAAATGTGTCAGCGTGCCTGTTATGTCTTATTTCTTTTCTTTATTGCTCGTATTCTCATATTATA